TATTTAATAGTAGAATTTTAGCAAGATTTAATTAGCTTATAGCAATCTCAAGTAGGCAGGCCTGGAATTTAATCCTTTTTGCAACAGAATTCAAATCAACAATAATTTGAATTTTTTCAAATTTTGTTTTACTCAAATAAAGCCATGCTTTGTTATGCTTGAACTGAAAAATAAATATTCACAAGACTGCTTTCTTAAGCATTTCGTTTGTCACAATGCTCATAAACTAATATCATATATTTTCAAAATAGATGTTTTCGAATTCTATAAAATTTTTACAAATAATTTGAAGTTTAAAAACTCAGATATGTACAGTAAATACTCGGTAATACATGTGTATGCTATTAGCGTTAGATATTATCTGTTATTTAGCTAATAAATCCAATTCAATATAAATATAAAAATCCCGAATAATTCGAATTCGTTCACATTCCAAGGGCTCAAACTTGCCACAATGCTTTAAAAGTTTCTTTTCGATCCATTCGTTAATCCCTGCACACATAGATGCGGAGTTTGATTGTTGATGCTTCGGCTGTTTTGGATTACGCAGCAAGGCAGCAAGTATCTTAGACGGAGCCGTTATTTGACTAACAAGCACAGCGCTAATGCGGTTTTTTATTTCTCTTCCAACGAGCTCGTGATGCTGAAATCGCGAAACAATTCCTCCACAATTATGATGCCGTAAAGAGCCACACTTGCCACGCTTCACGAAACTATAAATTTCTTTGAGACCTTGGTCGAATTCCCAACGTCGCTCGTATAATGCGCTTTTTGCTTGTTCTGATAAAAATTTGAACTCGTCTTTTCGTCGATATACGTTGAGATTGTCAAGTATCAGTTTTGACGATTCTTTATATGATTTAGGAAGGTTATACTTGTCACTTAGACGAAAAGATTTTAATGGGTCATCTTTACACCTTTCAGCAAGAAATGAATCTGCTACAAGAAATGCTTCAATAGTTTTGCCCTTTTCGGCCAAGATGAGTTCTTGCTCGATATTTGACCAGTTTAGAACTAGTTTGTTTGTAGTTTTTGTAGTCGTTATTGTGGAATCGGATCTCAATTGTAAATGTGATCGCTGATTCAGTTGTTGTGATTGTAACTTTTTTTTTGAGTGTCTTTTAGTTGACGGCAATTTTTTATTGTGATTAAAATGAAAAATCGTAGAGAGTTGATTAATGATTTTTAATTTATATTGCATTTTTAGGTGATTTCTCAATTTAAAATTTTCCTGAACTTGCATTTTTGATATTAATAATAAATCGAGACGAAAAATTAAAGGAGAAAGGATATAAAAAATCTCAGATAATGAAGTAACAATAATAAAAAATCACCTTATAAGACTTTTCCGTTCCCTCATTCACGCCTGTATAGAAAATTCTTTGCATTAAAATAAATCGAACAGAATCAGCAAAGATCATCCTTTAAGAGATATCTCGCCCATTAAAGAGCTCAATACGACTTGTTTGTCTATCCCTCACCTTGCCATAATTAAATATTTAATTTCTGAGGAAGTTTCTATTTTACGCACCAGCATCAAGTGTTGATTGAATATCCTTTAATAACGATATACAAATAATTAACCGACTCCTCGTGTGCATGTGCCTGTACTATCACATAATACATAAACATTTAAGGAGCACTCTAGCTCAAACTTTTCTTTAGAGAAAATCTCTACAGAACAAATCAATAGAAACATCCACCATTTTTTTAGGCATTCATGTACTTTATACATGCATTTAGACTAAATGTTCTATGCTATTTATGATACATGTACATGTATTTAAAACCAAATTCATATACCGATACATGTGTATTTAGCTTAGCTATAATGTGAAAATAAGATTTCATGTCTTTCCCGATACGGTATGTTTAATTATTATAACTTCTTAAATAATACAATGACTATTGTAACACCAGAAACAAAATTTTAATTTTTAAAATGTAATATTGCATTTTGAACA